TATTTTTCATGTAAACGTTATGAATACTCATTTTTATGCTTTGGGTAGCCGTTTATTATTTCACACGGTAGAATCTTTAGTAAATGTCCATAAAAATATATCTTAATTTTATAAATGCGAAAGTAACTCTAGTCTGTCTGTCTTGCTTTCACGCTTAAACCACTGATTCGATTTTTATGAAATTTGGCATAGAGATAGTTTGAGTCCCGGAAAAGGACATAGGATAGTTTTATCCCGGTTTTTGAAACAGGGACGCGCGCGATAAAGGTTTTCTGTGACAGACAAAATTCCACGCGGGCGAAGCCGCGAGCGGAAAGCTAGTAAATAATAAGGCCTAACTGTGTAATTAATTAAATTAGAAATCCTGGCACACCAACTATAGTTAATTTATTAGTATTTCGTTATAAAAACAACGTTAACAGCATTGTTGTATTCCGGCAGTTGGAGGTAAGATAGCCAGTTCCTCTGTGGTTGAGGATTTTATTTTATTTTTATTGTAATCCGAGTAAAGCTCGCTTACACCTTCGGTCTGATCATCCTTTCCCATCAGGTGAGATGCAGGAAGAGTTATAGCCCAGTCAATGAATGCTTTAACGACGCCCTCCGCCAGCTCAAGGGCTAAGGGCGGGGACTTTTGCTATGTTGACCTCTAAACCAGTCTAAATAAAGTCCCAAAGTCAGAAATTGTGTTCCACGGATTTCCATCTATAATGCTTTATTGACTGGACTATTGAAAGAACCTTACTTTCGTTGTCCTAAAAGCTTTCAGTCTAAAGTTTTGTCTTTTTACGCTATTGTACCTTGGAAAAGTCACCTAAAATGTAAGAACGGTAAGATATTTCATCTTTTGCGGGTGGCATATTACATTTTTTATTCAGTAGGGCGTAGACGAACTAAATCAAGCAAATGATAATGTTGGCACATCGCTAATGGGCAATTTATTATTTTTTGAGCGTGCCTTATTTTTTTTATGGAAGCTTAGCTTTTGTACCTAATTTGATTACGGTGACTTAGCTGTACGAAGAATCAGGTTGAATTAAGAGTCAATTTATGTCACAAAGGCATTAATCTTTAAATTAAAATATAGTTATTGTGTGGTGTTAATCGGTCATTCTCACGATTAGGCGTTCTCAGCCTAATTACCATATCATTTTTGAAATTTGGCTTAATTGACTTAAACGCATTTAAATATGAAACTCACGAAAAGTACGAATTTAACAATCGTTAAGGCGTCAAATTATTCCAAGCGGTTTTCGCGTAAATGAGACCCAAAAATTTTATGGTCACGGTAATTAGATAAGGCTAATACTTAATCTAACGGTAATTAGAAAAAATATGTAAAATAGCAAGAAAACAATATCTTGCATTGATAAATTTGTATACTTATAAATATATAGCGTCATAAAAAACGCTGTAGGTACACTTAATAACCCTTTGAAAAAAGGAAAACACTCATTTCTATTATTTATTGTATCAAGATATTTTCAGTATACTGCAATAATCGAGGCTATAACAGGAACACTTAGTTTCGGCCAGAAGGGGCTACGTGTCACATTTTTTCATCGGAATCTTAATCATCATTTATTTGATTTCAAGGTGGTACAAAGGATTTAACGTACAGATAATGGATTAGGAGATCTCACAAATTTGGTTTTTCGGATATACATATATCGAAAAATTAATTAATGATTTAAGTGATTTTTCCTCTTTTTAATCTATCTGCGATCAGCCATCACCCATTATCAGATTAAATTGAATTTGTAATAATGACAGTTCCAGCTCAGCATATCCCATGATTTGTCACCTCGATTCTTTTACAATAAGTTTTCAGATTGATGCTATTCGCTTTCTCCGAACTAACTAAGGGCTCGCGCCGCGCGCGTAAATGATGTGTCAAATATTATTATTTAGGCTTGTGTGCCCAAAAACAGAAAACGTCACGGGAATTAGGACTTTCGCTCGGACAAGCAGTTTTTTAATTCTAATTATTTACAGAATGGTTCTATTGAATAGATATTTTGCTATGCGTAAGACAATCTTTTGTACTCTTTAAAATGTTGAATGGAGTAAACCAAATCTATACGACATAAAAATTACAGCCAAGTTTTAACATTAAGTCGGTGTGCGGACGCGTAACGGTAATTAGAGAACAGAGGTTCATGAAATTAATTAAGTCACGAATACTTAAAATAGAGGCCTATGATTTAATGCACAACTGGATGGGGTTGTTAAGTAACATATAAAAATACTTGCATGTCTCTAATTTGTCATTTTTAACGATTTAACAACCCGGACACGCAAAAACTAGCTCATCTGAGAATGGCCGTCATAAAGTGTGTCGTATAATTACGCCCGTATTCTCAAACTATGCTTGCTTAAGTGAAGTAGCAAATTGAACGCACATAGTTGAGTAAAGCTCTGTGATTGATTCGTGTGTCACTCTGTGCGTCCACGCACACTGTGAGAGATCATAGTAATATTTGTGAATACGGGCGTAAGTAAGTTAAATTGTGTTAATCTATTGTATGCAGGCTACCAACCGTGCGATGTGGAAGTCATTGGGGGAGGCCTATGTTCAGCAGTGGACGTCCTGTGGCTGAAATGATGATGATGAATTTAAATAACTTTTAGATTTTTCAGTCACCCTGAACATTTCATTTACCTAATAAATATTTAAATGAGTGTAACGCTTCCTACGCTACATTTTAAATTAGAAATAGTGATAATATTAACTTCAAAGCTCAGATATAATTATTATGAATAATAACAATGCACAATGTTGGCATTATTAATAATATCAAAATTGCCATGTCAGCGTAGATTGAACTAATTACACTACCAGACTAACCACCTACACATTTTCGAGTTTAAAATACAAAGGTTAATTCCATTTGTAATTTTAGTTAAAATTAAATTATAAAATGAAAATCTGATTTATTATTCTCAGTACTTTCATCTAAGTACTTAATTAAAATTTGTTTGTACTAATAGTCTACTTCACTAGCTGTGGCCGCGACCTCACTCGTGAAAATAATTTGAATAATTCCCATTTTTGTAACATTTAATTTACAATTTATTTTGACAGTTGAAATACGGATTTGGACAAGGATTGAATATGGGAAATGGGCGCTAAAGAAACATAATTTTGATAGAAAACGGACCATTATTAAAGGGTTAAAATTAAAAACTAACTTTTTAATAATGTCAAAACTATAATATCTCCTAATCGCCCTTATTGTAATATCAAGTTCCAAATAATAATTATTAGTTTTAGGCACTGAATTGAAATTAAAAAATTAAACATTCGTGTTGAAATTGTTAAAATAATAATTCCAAGAATAAAGGTCAATTTGTTCTTCAATTAAGAACAATTCCCACGTCAGAATTATACACAAGGACCATTTAAATTACAATTAAAGTAGTAGGAGTCCAATTATTTTAAAATACAAGAATATAATTATCTAACTAACAACTGAAATAATACAGTGGAGGAGTATAATTTAGTACGCAAATTAGGAAAAGCAGTACCTTTCCTACAATAATTATCTTTGGTAATTGAGTTCTGAGTTTTCTTAAATAAGTATTACTTATACCTAATTACTACCTAGGTATCATATTTTAAAAAATAAAGTAAAAATACATTGCCCGGGATATCCGGCTCGAAGAACCAATGTCAAAGACAGTGTCAAATATAAGACTATGATGTCAGAATGTTACAACTGCGGCGTATCAACCGATGATGGGATTTACTGAAGGACGTGTCTTACGCCCGTATTCACAAATATTATTATGAGGTCTCACACTCGCGTGGACGCACAGGGTGACACACGAACCAATTACAGAGTTCATTAAGCATAGATTTTTACGTAAAAAGTACCAAAGTCGCAACTGGCCAAATTGCAAGTTAAGAAAAAATTACTTATTAAAATGTTCGAGTTAACTCATACGTCTGTTACGATTTACTAAAACAGCTGAATTAGCAGTTCATGTATCTTTTATGTCAAATTACATACAGCAAAGCGCTCAAAATGTAGCGACCTGATTTTATTTCTTGTTTCGCAAGGAACAGGCAAGGGTAATAAATCATGCTGCCTAGTTTTTCATGCAAAGGCATCTATCACCTTGTTATAGGTCAATGACAAAAAAACTTGTTCGCACTTGTTTGCTATTTTCGACTTTCATAGATGTTGATTAGATTCAAAATACGACAACAACATCTCTACTCTATGTACTCGTATATCACCGATTCTGCTAAGAATATAAACTTTTTTGTGACTCAGGATCCGATGCTGGAAGCACAAAAGTACCTACCTAGGGAAATATTACAGTCAAATACGTCTTTAAACAAGTATACGGAATCCCCCCAATCCTTGAAGACGCTAGTACCTCCTCACTAGTATCCGGCTCGAAGGACCATGTTTAACCTTCCCTTAGAGGAAGGTCACTCCTCTTTTTCTTAGTCGGGCACTCTTGTCAGAGTGACCGTGGTTGCGCTGACGAGGTACACGGTGGGGTGTTCGGTATCATTTCCGAGGGTAGTTCTCCTGGCGATGTGCTTCCATTTCTGACGGTTAGAGGCGTCGCGAGTACACTGGACCATGGTGGACTCAGTAGCCTTTGTGATGGCGTCTATCCAGCAGATTGGTGATCGACCTCGTACTCTCAGTACTTGTACCGTCTGTATAGCTAGTATCCTTTCTTTTTACTTCTTTTAGAAACAAGTGTACCTAGCTACCACAACTAAGTACTGTTGGAGGCCGGTAGATCTATTCTTAAGAATAAAACACTGGAAACTTAACTTTCATATTATATTGCCTCATCTACAATACAATTTATCACTTAGCACAAAAGCACGGGGAGTCATCCGCGCGCGTCCCTCTATTCTAACGTTTTCTCGTGTGACATTGACATTACGTCAATGTCACTATGACAACAGCTCATTGGTTATAACGATACCGTTATTTTAACGTTTTAGATTTCTCACAGTTAACCGTACTTACCGGTATCCAAGCAGAGAAGTCCACGGCAGCAGTCGCCATTGGTGGCGCAGGGCGAGCTGTAGCAGTGGGCGGGCTCATCAATGACGTCATCGATGCGGTTGCCCTCCAGCGCTTCGGCGTAGACCTCCTCTGGCTCCACCTGAGAGAAAGAAAAGGTTAGCAGAAGCCAAACGGTGAAGGGGTCGGACTGGCCGACTCGAGATCCGAGGAACGCGGGTCCCACCGCCGCTCGACTATTGTGGTGAGCTCACTCGTAACACAAGCATTTTAGCTTACCACGAGGGACTAACGGGACTATTAGCAATTTGTGCAACACAAATTACTTATAATCTTAAAAAAAAATACGAATACCCTTCTACCACTGTAACTCTTCAGGTTCTAGTTATAGAATAGACTATGAGACCATTCCCCATAATTCGAAATCACAATATTTTTTTAAATTTACTTCATTCTGGTTTTAAAAACTTAATAAATTTTATATTTCCTGTAAATTAAGATTTTTGGTTGCAATAATTGAAAAAAGTAGTGACAAAATAGTGACGTCCCAGGCTTGTATTGCTATACAAAATCTATGGGAAAGTCTCGTTTTGACAGTTTTAAAAAGTACGTCAATTGATTGGTGGTGTCAAATACCATAATACAGTCAGAATTATAGCTTGGTTGGCAATCAAACTCAACCAGCAAAGATGAAAAGAATAAAGCATCAGGTTGTTTCCATCATTATAGCTCTTGTATGCCAGAAAAGAAATGCATCAGAGCTATAAAATCCTTGAAGTGGAGGGACAGCTGCAAACCACACTTCAAGGAATTAAAAATACTAACTGTACCCGCCTCGCTCTATTTACGAGACTGCGGTCTTTGTCAAGAGAAATCTACATCTGTTTCCCACTCTATCCAGTAGACGTCTTATGCACACTTTAAGCGCACCAACTTGTCAAACCGCTCTAAAAAGGAAAAGCTTTTACTGTATGGCTCCTAAAGTTTATAATAAATTGCCAAAAAAGTTAAGAAACGCCAGCTTGAACACTTTTCGCAAAGAATATTGACCCTTTTAATAAGAAAATCATATTATACATTAACTGAATATTGGACTGATACTTTGTAAAATAATTTTGACATGATAGTTTTGTAAGCATTAAATTCTTAAAATTTACATTGTTTTATTATGACGTTATGTAACTATTAATTTTTGTTTGTATCTTTATATGGGACTAATAATTTGTATGCCACTCATAGGCCAAACATAGAGCTCTACCCATTATTATGTACCACCTGAATTACACATTTACTTATGTTTTACAAATAAATGATTTGATTTGATCTACAGCCTGGCTGTGCACCGAATTTTCAAGCAAAATTTTAAAAACCCTGTCATGATTTATTAAGATAAAATAAAAGTAAAGGACAAGTAAAAGAATGATTTAAAGATGCAGCACTTCAAGTCATTATTTTATTAGGATATCATAACATGAAGTCAAATTTTCTTTGTTCCTACAACTATTATACATTAAATTGTTTTAGCAAGCACGAAAATGTTAATTTGTTTCGCAATTCCTATCATCATCATCATCATCATGTCAGCCATAGGACGTCCACTGCTGAACATAGGCCTCCCCTAATGCTTTCCACGTTGATCGATTGGTAGCGACCTGCGTCCAGCGTTTCTCTGCTACCTTTACGCACCATTAGAGAGGATGCGGTGGCCCTTTGGCAGGAGCGGTGGGATGCCAGCAGCGACGGACGTGAGCTGTACCAGTTCTTTCCCATCGTGGCGGCGAGGCTCTCACTCGGCTGGGTTGAACCTGATTACGTGGTTTCCCAATTGTTAACTGGGCACGGGTGCTTCAGGCAGCGCCTACACAGGATGACGCTGTGCGAGTCTGCACTATGCCCATGCGGCGAGGGAGTCGAAGAGAGCCGCGATCACGCACTTTGGGAATGTAACCTCTATGACGAAGCTCGACAGAAAATGCTGGATGCGATACGGAGAGCCGAGCAAGGACCTGTTTATCACCAGGACCTCACGAGTAGTCGCAGTACGAGTAACTGGATCGCGCTGCGCGAGTTCGCGCACTCCTGGCACACAATCAGGCGAAATTATGAGAAGAAGTGATGACATTTATCAACGATAGCAGCCCGACGCGAAGTACTGTATTTGTGGTGTCAAGCCCTAGAAGGGGGAGAATTGACTATGAGAAGGGACATGGATCAAATAAATTTGTAGGGAGTCAAGCAAAGCGCCCGGGGAAAAGAGCCCAGAGCAAGTACCCGCGCGCTCTCCCGAGATTCGGTTCGTACGCCGTGAGGCAGGAAGAACCATAAGTGGTGGTGGGTTATGATACCTTTACGATGTCGTCCGTCGGACGTCCTACAATTCCTATATTAAATTATTTCATTTGTTAGTTTATTTATGTTAAGCCTAACGATTCACTCAGTTAGTGCCTGAGGTATGAGAGCGGCACGGGAGGGGTGACATTGACATATTATTATGACGTGACAGCGCATACAAATCTGTGGGTCTAGTCAAAATGCCATCGCAAACCAATAGGAAGTTTTCACTATTGTCAGTCGCCGCGTCACCAGCCCCCCTAGACAAAACGCACTTTTTGATCGAATCGAAAATCGAATCCGTCAAAACTCCATACAAAAAAGGGGCTTTTCGACCACTTTTCGACTGGTTTGCGATTATAATTTGCACTTTGTCTAGACCCACAGTAATTCAACCAACGACGCGGCGATATAAACGTTCATTCAAAATCGAATAAAAGTTAAAAAATGTCTATGACTTTGCGATTGTTTTTACTTTTTTTAGCTTTTTTTTTAATTTGTTTCTTATGCTCTCTGTTTACGTCTATGCTTCGCTGTCAAACTAGCTGTCAAAACGACATCGCGATACGGATTTGTCAAAACAGCCTTAGGGTGGGTTGCACCATCTTAGTTTAACTTTGACAAACGTCTAAAATCTGTCTAACTCCATACAAAAAACACCGGTTAACGTCATAGTTACGGTCAAAGTTAGGTGGTGCAACTCACCCTATTGGTTTTCGATCGAATCAAAGCTTATCACCGGGGTTTTAGTAATCGCAATGAAAATGGCGGGTGTTGCGATTCGATTCGATTTTGATTGAGTCTTAAATGCATGTTGGCTAAGCCTTTGTATGGGAAATTTCAATCCAGTCTTTCGATTATCGATAGGTTGGGCTTTGCGATTCGATTTTTTGCCGTTTGGCTAAGCCTTTTTTGTTATCGACCTCTTTTGCGATTTGTTTATTTGTTTGCGACTGGTTTGCGATGGGTTTGGGATTATAATTTGCACTTTGTCTAGACCCACTGAAGCACATTTAATTTTCAACCGACTTCAAAAAAGGAGAAGGTTCTCAATTCGACCCGTATGTTTTTTTTTTCTATGTTTGTTACGCGATAACTCCGCCAATTATGAACCGATTTGAACAAATCTTTTTTTGGCGTATAGGTAATACCTCAAGGGTGGTCCCATTTAAATTTAATAATAGAAAAAACAACCCCCAAGGGTGGAAAATTGGGGATGAACTTTTTTATACGCAATATCTCCGCCGATTATAAATCAATTTGAACGATTNAGAATTGATCTACGTCACCGCTCAAGCGTCAGGGTTGTATGAGCAAAGTAAAATAAATAAAAACTTAATTTTAAGAAGCATTTATTGTATTTACGATTAGAAAACTTTAATCTAGTGGAGTTTGTATAATCGTACCATCTCTAAAGTACCTATTAATAAACTTCAGTGTTGCGATAATTCGAAATTAAACAAACAGTTTTAAAAGGTGTAGTGTCGGAAAATAGACACGGTGAAGTAAAGTTAATGTTTTTATTAGCTAAAATAATTTTTTTGCTATAGTTTTTTGTCATAAGTATTTCAAAATAATTTATTATTTAAAAAGTGTAGTTTTTTTTTATTATTTAAATCACTACAGTTAATTATTACTCCTAAATATTACAATTTTTCATTAAAGAAGAATAACAGTGCTGTTGGAATAATAAACCTTAATTGTGACGATGATCGACCGAGCGTGTATAGAAATACGCGTAAGCAAACAGGCGCGTGGCGGCCCGGACTGATTTGCAACTTGAAGTTGTCGCGCGCTGTAGGTAATTATCTCGGCCGGCATAGGCGAGTGACGGAGGCCTGGTTTTAAGCCCTATAAATACAAAACCCAGTTTTCAATTTACATTCGTTTCGCGTATTTAAACGCCGCCATGTTTTTCGACGTTTGTTTTTTTAACGACCAACGCAAAGGAACATCAATAGCCTTTGATCGTGTTCCGGAATTGTAATAAATGAACGTTTTTAACACGTTCGCAGAATATTTTAACGGTATTTTGCAACGTTATTTTTTTGAGAACATTTGCCTTTGAGTTGGGAAAAATACGGCTGCGTTCGTTTTTCGCGAATCATTTCCTGCAATCGCTGTTTTTAATTTGATTTGTTTTCATTTAATCAAGCGGAGTTTTTACCAATTCAATTATCAAATAATGAATTTAGGGATTATTCTTGTGAAGCGTTACGAAATTAAAATTATAGCACCCATAAGCATCTCTACATAAAAGAAACTTTTTAAAGTCAATCTATTTATAAGAAACTTTAAAAGTAAAGTAATAAATATTCTGCCCAAAGAAAAAAAATATTTGGCACACAATTAAGATGGTTATGTTAAATGATAACCAAAATTTTTCTTCACGGTGCAAATCGTGCTGATTTTTTTTCTTACACAAATTAGGTACTTATTCAAATAAAAAATTCCAACGCAAATAATTTATTGGCTGTTGTAATCCCAAAAAATCTCGGCCTTAAATGAACGTCCTAAGCACAAAAGTTCAAAGCCGATTGATGACTAGTAATACTCGTATTTTCCAAGAAAAATATCGCTATGAAAAATTCAGGGAAACTCCAATGAATCTTGCTTATTACTTCTTTGAAAGTAATCCTATTCTGGGCACCTTTGAACTCATGAAACCTTATTAAATTTCAAACTGATTAAGGATTGGCCATATTGGATGCGGCCTGCGGTCAGGTTAAAATGAACGCAGCCAGACTCATGTAATGAACAACATTGTCAGTCTCTACAGGGTGACTTTGCAAGTATCCATTTTTTTAAAAAGGTTTATAGAACAACTTGCGGCCGCAAGCGACTTCGTACGCGTGGATCCCGTTTTACCCCCTTAGGGGTGGAGTTTCGTAAACCTTTCTTAGTCTTATCCTACGTCATAACATCTACCTGCGTCCTGCATGCCAAATTTCAACCCAATCCGTACAGCGATTTGAGCTGTGCGTTGATAGATCACTATATCAGTCAGTTAGTCTGTTAGTCACCTTTGAGTTTTATATTTATTTAGATTTAACAATACAACTTTATCTTAATTATTTTTAATTGTGGTATCGCGAAAATATTATTGAAAATCTAATTCGTAGACATGCCTATTATTATTTTTAAAGGTTAGGGCTTATTTTCACCATTATGCCTATTAAGCTTTGCAATTAACTGTGTGCACGTATTTTTCTATGAACGAAGCAAATTATCCACGTGTGCTAATTTTGATAAAAATAATAAAATATGAAAAAAACTTTTTTGTTTTCATTATGTTACTGAGATTCTGAGTCGCTTCTAAAAATTTGGATACTGATAACAAAATCACCCTGTATACATTTCGCATTGATGCGATCTGCCCGTGCGAGTATGAGTAAAGAACGCAAACCGCACTGCTGACAGAATTGCCTTATCACGACCGTTGACACCTTGCCCTGATGGACAATGTTATTCATACATAGTGCATCATGCGTTCACGTTGATCTGACTGCAGACCGCAGAACGCATACAGTGTAGGATACCCTTAAACTGATTGCCCACCGACCTTTCCTTCAATTAGTTATTTATAACGAGTTAAAGATCTCGCAGGTTTGAATAAAAGCAAAACTTTAAAGCTGGTAACGTTACCGTGTTATTTTAACCTGGATCGATAGAGCCAAAGGTTACAGTTCACCGGAATTACCGCTGACCTTTGCGAGCGAGCGCATCTCTACTGACGCGGCAACGGGTGCAGGAAACGGTGCGTTATAACGTTATCGGGTAAATAACGTTATTGATTTTCTACGTAACGCGTCGAAAATAGTTTTGTAGAAATTTTATTTTTATAAATAAGCTGGTCTGCATTTTCCAGATGGAAAATGATGATAAGGCTGAGGTGGAAGCGAGCCTGAGATTAAATGTCCGAAAGTATAATAAGATCGTCCGTCCATCGGGTCGAGTCATCATCATCATTCAGCCACATGACGTCCACTGCTGAACATAAGCTTCCCCCAATGATTCGGGTCGAATATTCAGACTAAATTGGCAAGTATTACGAAATAAAGTCGCTGACATAGCCCGACGGATTAGCAAGCTGAAATGGCAATGGGCAGGGCACATAGTCCGCAGAACTGACGGCCGATGGGGCAGCAAGATTCTGGAATGGAGGCCGCGTACCGGAAAACGCAGCGTGGGACGTCCACCTACAAGGTGGACCGATGACATCGTAAAGGTAGCAGGGAAGCGCTGGACGCAGGCCGCTACCAATCTATCAACGTGGAAAGCATTAGGGGAGGTCTATGTTCAGCAGTGGACGTCCTATGGCTGAAATGATGATGATGGTGATGATGGCAAGTATTCTTTCCAGTTTTCCCAAAAAAGGTGCGTCAAAAAGTACTAAGTAACAAAATAGTTTAAAGAGAAGCTAAATGGTCCCAAGTGGTTTTAACCGTCCCAATTTAAGTGTGCCTGTGTGTATGTTAAAACCACTGTACCTACTTGTAATTGTTGACAGTAATGGTCAATTTAGTTTACTTACACCCTGGAGTACTTAGTAAAACCCAAAATGTCATAATTAGAACTATATCAAATGGGCCCAAACTGCTAACTGCTAAAGTGACCTCAAATGTGTTGAATCACCTTGAATGTGTCTTAAACCTAGCCTAAAGTGTCAATGATGAATGACCCAATGAATAATGTTTCAAAAATACATGTGTAATTTTAATAAAGCCCTAAATGTGTCAAAAAGTAGAAAGTTACAGAAAAAAATATCTAATATCTTCAACTATAGCTGTGCCCGCGACTTTGTACGTGTAAAAATAGTTTCATTAATATTTCCCATTTTTGCAACATTCTTTACTGCTCCGCCCCTATAGGGTGTTGTTATATAGGGTGTAAGGTGATGTTATATAGCCTAAAGCCTTCCTCGATGAATGAGCAACACAAATACACAAAAATATTTATTCAAATCGGACCAGTAGTTCCTGAGATATTACCAAAAGCCTAAATGTCGAATAGGTAGAGGAAGGACTAATTTTATTGATAGAGGGTGACCTAGAAATGTGTCTAAAGGCTTCCATCGTCCATTATGACGAAAATCCCTAAAGGTCCTCAATTAAAGCCTTAAATGGCGACCAATTGATGCAAAGTGCTTCGGTAATCTAATATGGCCTCAAAGAGTTAAGTATAGTGCCCCAAAATATCTTACCTGTCCATATAAATGTCCTTTATAGTGGTGTGGTGTAAGTAGACCAATTGATGCAAAGTGCTCCGGTAATGTTTCGTAATCTAATATAGCCCTATATATTGGATGGCCCCAGAAAATAGCCCCCAAATGTGTCGTAATGTCAAAAATACCTCAGTGCCTGAAGACGAAGGTCTATAAAACAACCAAAGTGTGTTTACCAGTGATGACATAATGTTTCCAAACCATTATTATTATTTATGGTTTTGTTCTCAGATCATACATCTATGCTTTGAGGTTTAGTTGGACTATAGGCCTTATACAGAATCTCGGTGTTTTTTACGAGATCGAATCAGAAATGAGGAGATCCGTAAACGAACTAAAATCGCTGACCTAGCCCCACGGATTAACACCAACCAACCACTACCAACCGGGTTACATGGAAATCATTGGGGGAGGCCTATGTTCAGCAGTGGGCGTCCTGTGGCTGAAATGATGAAGATGATGGACTACCAATAGGTACCAAAATAACTTACTTGTCCATAAGGGTAGTGGCGGTAAGGCCCGCGCCCGTAGCCCAGGTTGGCCAGCATATCGGAGCTGAACCGGTTGAACAGCCCACCCCACGCGTGGGCCGACGCCAAACAGCCCAGCACTAGCAGAGCGATGGCCATGTTGTTGACACTGTTGGAGAAAATAATTTATTAGTAATCAAATCAAATAATTTATTCAATACTCAGGCGATTTCCAAGGCGCTTATACACGTTCCAAATTATGCTTGCCCTACCACCACTTCGGGACAATATATGGGCTGGTGCTGAGAAGAAGTGGCAGAAGAAACTCAGTCGCCTTTGTAAAGTAGTCCTATAAAATTTGAAGATTACCCTCGATCGATGTCCCTAGGATATTCCTAGCATGGATACAATGGTACTTCGTTCGTTCGTTCGTTTCAGCCGAAAGACGTCCACTGCTGGACCAAGGCCTCCCCCAAGGATTTCCACAAAGACCGGTCCTGCGCCGCTCGAATGAATGCAATACAATGGTACTAATTGAGAAATATGCGAACATCAGGCCTTTTCCCAACCAGTCTGACCAGCGTTTGGTCTACACGCTGGTCCTCCATATGGCTCAGGTAAATTACGTTAACGTATTTTTATTGATTCCAATGCATACAGAATTGTATTTAATGTCACGGGGCAATTTCCAGCAGTTGCCCCTTTTCGATTACGAGTGCCTTCACCCCGGGGCCATTTATATGATCCCCTAAGGCTTGGGCACTAACCACAAACACGTTCGATATAACATTACCCCTTTTTATTACATCTAAGTAATTCTATTTTATTTACACCTTCTTTTACCTATCTTTAGCTGATAACTTTTTTTTTTTTATCAAGGTGAAGTCTTTTTAAATTTTCAGAATTGCCATTAAGAAATAAAATCAATTAAACCAATTAAAAGAGCAATTAGTCAATTACTCGTTCTATGTATGACTTTCTTTTGTAGGTTTTTACTATGACATCGACAATTTTTCCTCCAATAATCAATTAATTTCACTTTTTTATGTGAAACAAAATTTTAAGTTTAAACCGAATTTATTTTCTACATTTTTTACTTTAAAAAAACAATACCTCCAGCAAAATAGTGACCTGTAAATATTACATAATTCAGAATAAAACTTTTTTTTAAACTTTTTAACCCAAAAATCTCAATAATAATGTAGTTTTTGACACCTTTTACCAATAATTTCAACGCAAAACGTTTTAAGAATACAACTTTCTTAAATAAATTACCTACTGGGTGAAAGTTTTTGACATTAACAAGATTAAAATAAAACAAATCCAAAGTAGATATTGCTTAGATCCTCCATTTTCCTTATCGAATTATTATAATCTCGAAAACATAATAAATTAAATTCAGAGATTAAATTGAAATCAATCATCTTTTAATGAAATAAAACCTTTGTAATGCCAACAACAAAAGGTCAATAGAATTTTAAAGAAAATACCGGAACGATTTTCATTTCTCTATCATACATGATCTCTACATTACTCGTATGTAAAAACAATAAATCTCAATGTGATTTTTTTCATGTTGTGAAAATAAATGAACTATTAAAAACATTTTAAACCTCCTTCTGGCGCAGTTGGGTAAAAATTACACGTTCTTTTTCATTTGGTATCAAATCACACCAAAGCAAACGAAAAAATAACATTTTGAACGAAAAAAACACGATCGTATTCCAAATTCAAATAAAAACAAAAGAATCGCGTTTCCACTTTATAAATCAACCTGTTTGCCTTATCTATCACTCCATAAGTTATTTTAAAAATAGCGCGTTCCAAATTTAAAACCGTAACAAAGGAAAATCACCTCCCGCCCTTACGTGACAGACGTCACAAAAACCCCGCCAAATTGGTCCATAAAGACAAAAATAGCTTTCTAATTTTGAATGTTTCGCAAAACAAAATGGCTCCCCTATTCGTCACAGACTACTATTACAACCGACCTCTTTTCAAAACTCCCGCTAATTTTTATTCAAAAAAGGAAAATAAAGCGTTCTAAATTTAAATTCTAAGGACTCACCGATTCTTGGTCTATGTCCTGATGCTACTAAGGCTGGCGTCGAACTGGGCGATCCATACAGACAGGGGACTCACTGCGCATGGATGGAAGGCTGTGGGCACAATACGCGTGGGAAGCGACTTTTTTGTGTGCGACTAGTCGCACGTCTTGGTATCTGAAATTACTTCTCTTTCAGTATTTTATTGAAGTCTTTCGTAGGTTCAAGTCCTATTTAAGATAGTTAATTTTGTTTGAAGTGAAACATTTTGTCTTCGTAATTTTTTTTTTGGAACAGCTTTCTCAAGGTGACTGAGTTTCTTCCGCCACTTCTTCTCAGCACCAACCCATATGTTGTCCCGAAGTGGTGGTAAGGCAAGCTATATTTGGGACGTGTATAAGTGCCCTGGAAAGGGCCTATGTTCTGAATAAACTATTTCATTTCATAGTTTTTAAAGTACCTAACTACAGACCTATAGCAAGAGTAGATGAAAAAGGATTGTCCAGCAGTGGACGTCATTTGGCTCAAACGAAACGATGAACAAAGATAACCAAGGTACTGTACCTGTACTAAATGTATGGAAACTGGAATCATTAAAAGACAATGCCGGAAATTGGCGTCTTTTTTTTTTCGCGCGGCCATCGACCAATCCTTGTTTTTTGATTACAAAATAGTGTAATAAACCAAACTTACTATGACATGTATACCTCTAAACTCAGTCTGAACTGAGTTACGAGCATTAGAAGTTTGATGATTTTCATACTAGATTTGCTTTTTGCGCGCAAGTTTTGTAAGAAATTGCAACAAAATATTGCGCTATTTTTTTATTGCGCTGATTCTGCTGCATACTGATGTCTGGGGCCTTTAATAGATGGTATTGTTTGTTTACACATACAATGTCACTATTTTGTTGCAATTTCTTACAAAACTTGCGCGCAAAAAGCAAATCTAGTATGAAAATCATCAAACTTCTAATGCTCGTAACTCAGTTCAGACTGAGTTTAGAGGTATACATGCCATAGTAAGTTTGGTTTATTACACTATTTTGTAATCAAAAAACAAAGTTTGGTCAATGGCCGCGCGAAAAAAAAAAGACGCCACCTTCCATACAAAATCTGGCATTGCCATTTTCTTTCTATATCTTGCAACGTGACAAAATAAGTACTGAATAAAGGGCCCTTCCCACAACAATCCAGTTTGGCTGGATCCAGTAATGGATCGGTTTTTTTGCTGGACACTGCAAACAGGGTTTTCGTGTGAATGTTAATTTTAAAACACTAAACAGATCCTGCAAAAGACAGTTCCTTCAATAAACAAAATGTCTCCGCAGTAAAGAGCCCCAATGTGCTCCAAAAATAATTTTATAACGTCTGAAGCAATAATTTAAATAACATGACACATTTGACGAGTTTTTTTTGTAAATAAAAATAGTGTTTTAATGAACTAGCGGCTGCCCGCGACTTCCTACGCGTGGACCCTGTTTTACCCCATTAGGGGTTGAATTTTGTAAAATCCCGTCTTAGTTAAGCACCTAAGTACGTTCTAAAAGGAACCCCCATGCAAAATTCGACACTCTAGCACTTGTAGTTTCTGAGATTTCGTGATGAGTGAGTCAGTCAGTCAGCCTTTCGCTTTTATAGATATAGAGATTTATTGTATCCCCATCAATGTATCGGTGGCAATCCACAATAGTCGCTGTCCAATGTGCACACGCCCTTACAGATTGGCTACAGATTGGCTAAGCTTCCTGATTAACCCCTGTAGTCACGGGCTCTGTTCATTAAAACTAATTTTAGCTTTCATTTTATTTATAACTGACGAGCTTAAAGCTTCTGGAGTCTGTAGATTTTATTATCACTAGCTTGTGCCCACGGCTCCTCTCGCGTTAATTTTTGGACCTGCGTTTCATCCCCCTAAGGGATGAATTTGGATTAAAATGGTGAAATATTTTTCAAATCGGTCCAATATTTTCAGAGCCTATTCAATTCAAACAAACAAAGCTATGAACCTTTTCTATTTATAATTGCAGACAGGCTAGCTTAACAAAGCTTCTGAAGTCTGAAGGTTTCAATTTCAAATTTTATTATCACACTAGTTAGCTACTGCCCGCGGTTTCTCTCGCGTTAATTTTTGGACCTCCATTTCATCCCCTTAGAGGGTGAATTTTGGAAAAATCCCACTGTAGCGGATGCCTACGTCATAATAACTGAGTGCAAAGTTTCAGCGCAATCCAGTGGTATGAGCTGAATGTTGATAGATCAGCCTAATGTCTGCCTTGAATAATACCTAATAGGTACTTACTTTTCAGAAAACTATAATTAATGTGTCCCTATAATAATAGGGGAGAGTTCGGTATATTGTACCGCCGGGTAAATTGTACCACCCTCATATTTCGTTAAGTATCTAATGAATGTCTGTAATTGCAACACTCAGCGATACACAACTAAATTCAATTAATATCGGCCATGTGGTTTTTGCCGTGACAACGAACACGTGTGTTTTATTTTGAAAAGTATTTTTTCATTGTTTTCAAGTAACTTTTGACAATGCATGTTTAGTTTGTAATTTTGTTAAATTTAATCACAGGGTGTTTCTAATATATTATTTAGAAGCGTAAATTAGTGTGGATTATAATTATTTGAAACATTTTTCGGTATTTATAAGCTATATTTTTTACCGATTTTTTAAAAGCACTATCACCTAGTCGGCTAAATTGTACCACATCAAGTTGTATGGATCTTTACCAAAGGATTTTGAATTTTTTTTAGTAAATCATATATTATTTTGAAGTTATAATAGCCTAGTTATGTTTGACTAACAATAAATGAAAGCAAAAGACTGGCAAAGTAGATTAGGTACAAGTGTGCGTTAGCGTTACGATAATTGGAATTACAAAACTTTTACTCAAAATCGTGATAACGTGTAAAACAATATCGATTGTCTATGTTATTAACTACTGTTCCTTTTCGTTACCTAATTTGTTAAAAATGTATCGTATAATATTTTGTCATAGTTTTTTATAGGCTTGAAATTTATTGAAATCCAATTTAGTAACCCTGTGGTACAAATTATCGAACCGGTTGGCTAAATTGGACCGAAGCTCTGAACTCGTATTTTGTTGATTTGTGCTAAATATACAACAATTGTGTTGATTAATACCTATGATATAGTAAGTTGAATAATTTTTCTTTAATTATGTACCATGAACATTAGCAAAAACAAAAGAAAACTATGTGTAAAATGGGATTGAAAAAAACTGGTCCAAATTACCGGACTCTCCCTTATGTGTCCCAAATATGTATAGCTTGCCCTACCATCACATCAGGACAACATAAATAACGGATTAATGTCGTCCACACTTTCATCGTCCTTAACTCTGCTTATTTGAAACTGTGGTGTGATAGTTGAAACTATTTACCTAATTAATTTAGGACTAGTTGACCCCGCAAACTTTGTAGTACAAACTAACAGTGAAATAACACGTTGAACGATACAATAATGTTAAGTTGTTTTCTTGTTTTTGATAGTAGAGTTCCAAAAGTAATGATTTATTTTTCATTTAAACCTATTCTGTATATTTCTCACTATCTAGGTGACTGACTGACATCTATCAACGCACAGTCCAAACCACTGGATGGATCGGGCTGAAATAATTTTGCATGCAGGTAGATGTTATGACGTAGGCATCCAGTAAAAAAGGATTTTACGAAACTCCATCCCTAAAGGGGGTAAAACGGGATCCATGCGTACGAAGTCGCGGATGGCCGCTAGTTTTACATAATCTTGTTGAAGATATTGCCTCTATTTTTAAAAAAAGAGCCTGACAAAGGTGACTGAGTTTCTTCCGCCACTTCTTCTCAGCACCAGCCCATAATGTTGTCCCGAAGTGGTGGTAGGGCAAGCTATATTTGAGACGTATAAATTAAAGTGCCCTGAAAAGGACCTATACTAATAAAAAATATATTTTTTATATGGGACTGGGATGAATCCTATAAATCAGAGATAATTAAAATTGGTTCAGTCCTTTTTGGACTGAACCAATTTTAATTATTTTCAGCTCTAAAATGTTTTTTTTACACAGTTGTGCATTGAAATTTTTGCTAACTAGCTTTGACCCGCGGCATCGCCCACGTAGTTTTAAAATAACTTACAGGTGTTATTAGAGACTCCAATATAGCGTGGTGGCAGATCCAATATAGCGTTATATTGCGTCTATCAACTAAGCCATCTTTCCGAAAATAACGTCGTCATGCTAGAAGCAGTATCGACTGAATGGATGACGTCATTCGGGTGGGGTTCCATTGACACCTCCGACAAGTGAACTATATTCGGTAGGACCACACAATATTAAGAACATCAGGCATCTCAAGCCTGTCTGACCAGGGTGGAGAGTGTAGACCAAATCCTCCATCATCATCATCATCATTTCAGCCACAAGACATCCACTGCATTTCCCTTGCATCGTAGCCCAGACAAACGCCCCTGCATCGTGGATAGGGTAGCCAGGTGTCCGGCTTTAGCCTTTTTACGGTCTTGTCCGGCCAAATATTGTCTCGTCCGGCCTGTCCGGCTTTTGTTAGGCTTTTTATGTGGCTGCCGCGCCAAGCTAAAGACGAGCTACAGAATAATATCAAGCGCACGCATCAGGATGTTAGGCAACCGATGATAATAGTACTCACTCGTGAGCAATGACACTAATTGCACATGTCCGGCCAAATGAAGTACAGAGTCCGGCTTTTGTGTTCTTGGACCTGGCAACCATATTCGTGGGCTGTGGCCCGGGTAAACGCCCCGCTAGCCCCCACCTGTGGGCGTTTTTAAAGATTTCCCCTGCATCATGGCCCGGGCAAATTCCTCGACGGCCCCCGGCTCAATTGTGAGACCTACTGGGTCTATATTTACTGTACGTGGGGTGGCATCCATTGACACCTACTCTGTGTATAGAGGTGAAGGGTGTTTCGGACCTAATGACACTAATTTATGAAATTGTTCGTTATTTTAGTAGTAGGAGGGTTTGAATACTGTTTGCTGTGAAATAGTAGTTTTATTGTAGTTATTTCAATGCCCATTGCTATTTTATATTACTCATGCTCATTACTAGCTCGAAAGAATAACCGAACCTTAACTTCTAACTCCTATGTTCTTCTGATTAATTTCGTTGCGGGTCCAATGACAGCTTAACCTTCCCCCGGGACAAACTTGACCTTCACTGGTTGGGTTATTGGCGGTCAAGCTGTAGATCCTGGCTACACAGGAGTTGCAGCGGTGGGAACGAGAGGTGGGAATAGTCCCGTATAGCACGAAAGCATGTCACTATTGAGCAATTGCTACTTAGTAGCATGTGTCGAAACATTGATAATATTAAGCATGATCATTTCGAGTTGTTGCTCGTTTAAAGCATGCTATTATGCATGAAATTTTATGAGCAAGAGTAACTGCACCTTTATTGAAGTTTTTTCAATAGGGTAGGTGTAGAACTAGAACAATTTGATGTACTTTATAGGAGTCAAAACGCGACTCTCCAATTTTTGTATGGCTATTATCAAAACAAACCCATGACGTCAGTGTTTTACCAACTTCATTGACGAAATATGTTTACAAATATTTGTTACAATCATCGTCATTGTGACTGACGTCATTTATCGTCACCGTTATTCATTGACAACGAAAATGAAGTGAAATGAAAAAGTTCATATTTTTTACAGTTTATTAAATAAACTAAAACTACATAACAATCATTGATACCTCTTAACTTACAATTGTAGTTCCTGAAAAAGTCACACTGTGTGCTCTTAATAGGGTTTCAAACGATTTTACAAGGTTTTATTTTAATTTTTGCTACTTTAACTCACTGGATTTGTCTCATATTTGGGGAAAGTACTATCGCCCGTATTCACAAACATTACTATGAGGTCTCACAGTGCGCGTGGACGCACAGGGTGACACACGAACCAATCACAGAGCTCTATTCAACGCTAGGCATTCGATTAGCTACTTCATTTAAGCAAGCATTGTTTGTGAATACGGGTATAAGTATCTTGAGTAGAGTCTTGTTTTAAATGGATGCCAACGTTTTCAATTTCACCCTGTATAGAAGTTGAAAAGTCTTTTAACATCTAAATATAACTCAAAGGTGACTGACTGACTGACATAGTGATCTATCAACGCACAGCCCAAACCACTGGACGGATCGGGCTAAAATTTGGCATGCAGGTAGATGTTATGACGTAGGCATACGCTAAGAAAGGATTTTGCGAAACTCCAACCCTAAGGGGGTAAAAAGGGATCCACGCGTACCAAGTCACGGGCGGCCGCTAGTTTCTCATATATCCCAAAATGGTTCTAAAGTTGTCAGTTAAGAGGTACCGCATGTCAGGTTTCCAATCTCAATAGACCTAAAGAAGCAAGGTAAGCAGGGTCTGTACGACCATGACAACCAACTGTAGAAGGCCTGGTAGAAGACCACCGCCGATGCCAATAAGCACCTCGTCTGCCAGGTCTGACACTGAAGAAATGAGGGTAGTAAGCAATCCTTGCATGTTGGCAACATTGGCAGGAGGAGACGAAGGGTTAGCGCCAACGCCATACTCAGGCAACGTTCTCAAAAAGTTCACAATCGCTAGCGCTTGCGAGTACAGCTTCAACAATGACGTTTCAAGAGCGCCCAAGTCTACTGGGATCATGCAGGTGATAGATGGCGGTAGTGTGTCGAATATTGACAGGAGGGACAGAAGGAGGTTGTATACGTTGTTCAAAAGAGGTAGGAGTACGTTGACTAAAGGATATACGGCTGGCAGAGACACGACGGATACGTTGTTGGCCGCTACTGGCGCCTGAAAAAGAAATTGTTTTTAGTCTGTGCTCGTGTCAAGTTGACAGTCGGATTAAGAAGCTTTCTAGTTCTGTGGTATCACTAAAGGGACACATACGATATTTTTTGAATTGCTCAGGATACTTTAGTTTCATTTATTCGACTGCCTGAATACTAGAGATATTTTTCAGCAGTATTATCCTATTTTTATAAAATTTTATGACTTAATTTTTACTATTATATTTTTTTAACTCACCGTTGTCAAACAGACAGCGACAGCGATTACCGTTACCGTTATTTTTAACGACATTTTTCAATTAAAAAAAATATTTACCGAAATAAATACGGGTTTCTTCGGTACACAGATGTGTTTTGTATTTATATTTTTGCTGTTACATTTTATATACTTTACGTTGCAAAATGAGTTTCGATAGTTAATATGAAGTTTGTGGTAAATGATAAGATGGTATCGAGTTATTTACTAACTAATTACCTAATTAATTACGATGTATCTATGTAATAAACAGTTATTGGAACTTTTTATCTATTTTGTTACAAATAGATAGGTATTTCTTATCAAGGGGCATCCTAACCTAGTTTGAAACTGGTTTTATCTTTGGCATAGAACTTTTCTTAAAACGTTGTACTTACTAGGAACTTCAAACTGTGACCATTATTTTGGTTTTCAGCCAAATGGAAGCAAGTCTAACCTTAACTTGACTTCTGTGTTCTTCTGATTAATTTATTTTCTTCTGTTTAACACCCCCGGGACAAACTTGACCGTCATTGGTTGGGTTGTTGGCGGTCAAGCTGTAGATCCTGGCTACACAGGAGTTGCAGCGGTGGGAACGAGAGGTGGGAATAGTCGCTTCTTTTGCTAAATGATCTTTTCCCGAAATTTATCCCTCAACCAGGTTCCAAGTCTTGACTTTCCCATAGCTCTACGGAAATGTATTTTGCTCAAGCCACGGATGAAATCCTGTAGGTATAATAAATGCAAAGGGCATTATCTCTGTGTGCCCATCTCTCCCCAGCGTTACTCCCAAAGTGAAGATAAAACTTTAGGGCATTTCCTTCCTGACGAATTCCCAAACGATTTTGGTAAATGATGCAAAATAAGTAAATGGGGCCATAGAATAAAGGGAAAATTTACCTATTTGTGGACTAGTTTTGTCGTCCGCGTGAAATTCAGTTTGTCACAGATCTTTAAACATTATAGTCAAACGCCCGTATTCACAAACATTACTATGAGGTCTCACAGTGCGCGTGGACGCACAGGGTGACACACGAACTAATCACAGAGCTCTATTCAACGCTGTCGTTCGATTTGCTGCTTCACTTAAGCAAGCATCATTTGTGAATACGGGCGTAAATTAAGTCTGACAAACATACATTATAAAGTTTCGTATTTTTATTAAGTAGGTTAAGAGTTAAGACTGTATCTTTTAACACTACACACCTGTGTGCTCTAAGTGCATCGTAAAACACACTAGAAATTACAAAGTTTTCACCACTTCTAAACAGCTGAATTTCTTTAAGTATTTCAATTTAAGTAGAGACGAATTTTTTCTAGCTAAATAATAAGTCTTACGTGTTGGTAATATGAGTCATATTGCATTAAAAATGTTTTAAATCTGGTACGGTAAACCGTACTAATTCCCAAATCTCGTTCCCTCCGCTGCAACTCCTGTGTAGCCAGGATCTACAGCTTGACCGCCAATAATAACCCAACCAGTGAAGGTCAAGTTTATCAAAAATGTAGCATGTAGTGATGTATTTTGCATTTTACGATATTATTATGACGCGCTACGTTTAGCACGTTCTAAAATAATGTCATAAGTACAGGCTTTTGCCCGCAGGTTTGCGTGGGGTTTAGGTCTATTACTGAAAGACTGTTTTGCGGGGATTCTTAACTATCACTTAAAGACTTAAGTCAAAGGGCTCGTTCCCACGGCACTCTAGTTTTGCAGGATCTAATAATGCAGGATTTTGATAGATAGAGATAGATAGATTAATAGATGTGTTTGAAATTCATATTCCTGAACGGATCTAATCAAATATATTTAATTTGCGAACATGGGTATTACAAGTAGGTGTTACAACTACAAGTATTTTAGTATCACCATTAGGCTGGTTTTAGTGTCACGGGGACTGTCAGTGCGGATCGCTCCGCACAGCTGATCTGTGTGAACTGCTAGGGAGCGGAGCGGTTCCTCCGGACCGCATTACTCTAAAACGCTCCCTAGAAGTTCATACAAATTGGCCGTGCGGAGCGAGTCCGCACCGGACGGTCCGCGTGACACTAAAACCAGCCTTAGGTCGATGTGGAAACCATTGGGGAAGCCTAACTGAAATGATGATGACTAAAATCCATCCCAGGGGTTAGTAAAGGAAAAACAAACGGACATTGACTAAAATCCATCCCAGGGGTTAGTAGGTACCTAAAGGAAAAACAAACGGACAGCGTCGCATTTTAATATCGCGACTGTTTTCTGCGAAATGTAGGTCAATGTCAATGCCGAATAATCATATTACGTTTATGTCCATTACATAATAAAATTATGTCGAGTCTGTAGATTGTACGTAATTATTATTACTGGCTACACTTTGCTTTGTTTTTGACTTTTAATCTACTTTCGTTCGTTCGTTTCAGCCAAATGACGTCCACTGCTGGACAAAGGCCTCCCCCAAGGATTTCCATAACGACAGGTCCTGCGCTGCCCGCATCCAGGTTCTTCCAGCGATCTTCACCAGATCGTCGGTCCACCTATTTGCCCACGTTACGTCTACGCTACGCTTTGTACGTAACTCTACTATAATCTGCACTAATGAGCAAAAATTTGATTGTTTGTTTGTATTAAAATAGGCTTCGAAACTACTGGACGGGAAAAATTCTTTCACCATTAGAATGAATGAAAGTTTAACCGCCTCTGTAGTCTAGTGGTAACATTGCATCAGACTCAGGGGTCCGAGGTTCGATTCCCAGTCCCATTCCCAGTGGGGGCAGATTTTTATCTAGGGTTTGGTAGAGGTAGGGCTTGTTCTAAGTCCGCCTGGCTAGCTACCACCATCTTACCTAAGTCTGTAGCCATAATAACAATGTAAACAGCATTGTGTTTGGGCAGTTGGCCAGTTCCTCTGTGATGGGTGAAGCTCGCTTCCACCTTCGGCCTGATCATCACTTTCCATCAGGTGAGATGCAGGCCAAGAGCTTCCTCGTTATAGATAAAAAGTCGATATACCTAGTGCAAATTTCTTCACATAGTTTACATTTTTATCTATGACATATTATTTATCTTTGACCTTACAAAACATTTCAACAAATACTTACTGCTTAATATGTTACTAGAATATTGATAAACTTTTAACAATTCATTTCATTACATAACAATTTGAAAGCATTTTTGATAACTGTTGTTTATAAAAAGAAAATTCACGTTGATTAAAATAATTCTGTTTAGAATTTACTACAGAAATATTGTTTTTATTTATTAAAAAAATGCGTTCGTACATTGTTTTCGTGGTTTTTGCCGTAACATTATTGGTTAGTATTTATAATTAATATTTTTAGAGTTTAAAAAGTTGTCCTCGTACTAAAAACTACGTATTTTTTAACAAATAAACATCCACTGACTTATTGTTCCTTCTTCATTATCACCATACTTTTTTCTTCAAATAAATTGCTTTTCCCGCCAAATTCTATCCTTTTTTTTACATAAAGAACTTGGCCAAAGCCGTGAAACTCAATTAAAAAAAAGTTTTCGCGCCTAAACCTAACCTAACTTTTTGACAGGTCCATCAATCGGAGGCCATGATTCCCGCCTACTCGGTCATCGCTCTCCGTCTGGCATTTGAAGAAATATCCACCATTTTGCCCGTTGCAAGCCAACTCGCCTGCCTCTTAATCCCGTTCCTGGTCAACCTGATCAACAACCTGAACAACTTGTCCAATATTGTCCAGAATTTGACACCAGCACTATTACCCTACTTTGGATGCACATTGCCTCTTTTGTACGCCACTTTGACAGATTTAGCATCAGTCCTGTTCCTGTATATTAGTATTTTGATATCGTTGTTCAGGTCAAATGTTTTAGCAGCGCCAGGCCTGCTCATGGGGCTGGTCTCACAGGTCTTAAACCTGGTTCTAGGCCTGTTAACAGGCCTGTCAGACGGCACAGGCCTGTTGAGTGGACTGATTAAATTGATCACAGGGGTGTTGGTGGAATTAGAGAAGCTGTTACTGTGAGTTAGGTTAATTTGTTGATTCGTTGTAAATAAAGTTAATTAAAGATTTTTGATTAAATTTTGTTTTTGTTTTTGATTTCTTTCCTCTTCAACTTCCTTCCATTATATATTTTTCAACTTATTTAATTAAATTGGATATTATAGTTTGCCAGATTACGCAAAAATAATATAATTTTAAAACTTACAAGGCTATGAAAGAGTGCTGAAATTCAGGTGAATCCGTGGTCAGACATAAACTAACCCTGGGTTTCACCATTTGACATTAGCTAATAAGTTAAGTAGTTACTTATAACAAACGTCAAAAGCCTGTCAAACTTCGTATAAAAACATCGGTTTTAAAGATGACCCACGCTAAACTGTCCCACCAAACTCAATGACAGGGGGGCGCTAGCATCGTTCAACTATATATGGTTTCCAACATGGGAAAAATCGAAAGCAGCGATCCGGTATTGACGGTGGCGCCCCGCTGTCAAAGTCATGCATAGGACAGTTCAGTATTTTGGAACTATACATATTATTATGTGTAGCGCTTAATTCAGTCTGCCTGAGGCAAGGGAGCAGCACGGGAGTCCGGGAGTTGTGACTTTGACCTTTGACATATTAAGGCGTGACGTTTGACCGCCACAAAATCAACGTCCGGTGCCACTCCCATTTTTCAGACACTGACTGAATTAAGCGTAAGCCCAAAACGGTAGTTATAGTTACGGTTAAAGTTAAGATGGTGCAACTTAGCCTAGATGAGCTTGCAGTTTCTTTAACACAATGAATAAATAATTATTATTACCCCTAAGAAATATCGGATTACTATCGAATTTAAACTATTCTTCTGAACACCATTAACTTTATATTTAGGTAAGTACAAGTTAATTTTACAGGTCACTCTCCGAAGGGATCCCGTCCCGATCACATCCCCAAGCAGGCTCTGGATTGGAACCCCCAAGGAAAACGCAAACGTGGTCGCCCCAAGCAAACTTGGCGGCGCACTGTGGCAGACGAGGCGAAGAAGATCGGCAAGACTTGGAGCGAGATCAAACACATAGCTCAAGACCGAACGCGATGGAGGACTGTTGTGGACGCCCTCTGCCCCATCTAGGGGACATAAAGTCAAGTCATTATTCTGAAATCTTTTAGCCTTTAAAGTTTCATTCGTTTTCAAATCAAAAATTATTGTTTTGTGCAATTTATTTGAATCATGGCGAAAAAATTACTAAATGGTGGATTAATTTTCAAAATCTAAAAACACAATAAGTCCTTTTCAGTTTCATAATTTCATGCGAATATAGGTACCTATCGTTTATTCCGTGACTAATCTTATAATATTCTAAGATAATACAATTTATCTGAAATCTAACTATCTCATTATAATATAAGGAGATCTATATAAAACCCTCACGTAGTTAATAAAAAGGTTTTGATAGAACTCGTTTTGTTGGTTATTGTTTAATAATAATGAAAACATGAAAGAAGTTCTATTTCTGTTTTGTTTGTTGGCTGAAAAATTTCTGGTAAGCACTTATTTGTTTCTTTGTCATCGTTTTAAAAAATGGTATGCGTGAGTTTTTTTGTAGGTCAGCATTAACGCCCGTATTCACAAACTTTACTAAGGCTGGGTTGCACCATCTTAATTTGACGTTAACAAACGTCAAATATCTGTCAAACACCATACAAAAAGCACCGGTTATCGTGATAGTTATGGTCAAAGTTAGGTGGTGCAACTCAGCCTAAGTATGTCTCACAGTGCGCGTGGACGCACAGGGTCACACACGAACCAATCACAGTGCTGCTCAACGCTGTGCGATCAATTTGCTGCTTCACATAAGCAAGCATCGTTTGTGAATACGGGCGAAGTTACATGGGTCTACAAAAACTTTTTTGATTGACGCACATTTTTGTAATGACTGGTATCTAAGGTAGTTTTGATATTTTTTTTTATAGAAAAGCACTAAATGGTGACTTGACCTACTGATATGTGAGAAATAAAATAAGGGATCCTTGTCGGGACTACGGAACCCTGAAAACCTAGCATATTCCCTCCCTTTAGAATACCTATTCATGTTAAGAAAACAGTGAAACAGCTGTGTAAGATATTATTATTAATATTGTGTTAAAATCAAACCATTGACATTAATGCAAAATTGTCTGGACTTAGCTGGGTTGTACCATCTTACTTAAACTTTAACAAACGTCAAAAATCTTTTAAACTCTACACAAAAACACTGGTTATCATTAAAGTTACGGTCAAAGTTAGGTAGTGCAACTCAGCCTTACACTTCAACTGGTCAATGTGAATAATGCAAGTTTTCACCATCAATCCTAATCTTTAAGTGACCCCTATGAAATCAAAATTCCTGTTATGTGTTACCATAGGGGACCTAATTACTTTATAAATACTTTCCTTTAATAAATAAGTAAATTAATAAAGTCACTTAAAATTTTGAAATTGATGGTGAAAACTTTGAAAAATTTGAACCCAAATAGACAAATTAATTTAATTTTCAGCGAAAATGCTTTAAAACTTTACCAACAGAAGAAAATGAAATTATGAATTTTCATGAGGTTCCCTTTACAAACCTCTTCTTAATGTATAATTCAATATAAAATGCTCTATTACTAAGATAAGGTTATTTTGTTAGAAAATTGAATCATTTTAAACAATTTAAATCTATTATTTATTCGAAGGACTAGACTGGGCCTAGTTGTAATTAATTTGCACCAATATTAATTATTTCTTAATGAGTTTTAATTAAAAGCTTTTAAAATATTCATTAGTGTTATTTAAGGCTCACTTAGATAAATATTGAGAGTACAATAATTAGAAATTATTTTCTTAATTCTTCTACATAAATCATAATTTGGTTAAAGTTCAAAAGATAAATCTAATTGTAATTTTCTTTGTTCTTTAAGGAATAACATTGTCTATGAAAGTTTTTCAAGAAATACTTTTTATAATTTTATTATTACTAAAGTCTGGTCGCGGAGCACGTAGAATTTTGTTCAATGACCCCAAGCTACCCATCCTTATCGCTCGCGCGTAATTATATTGCTGTCGCGACTGTGCGACGGGCGGCAGCAGTGAGTGTGCGAGCGCAACAGCAATGTAATAACGCGCGCGCGAGCGATAAGGATGGGTAGCTTGGGGTCATTGGACAAAATTCTACGTGCTCAGGGACCAGACTATAGTGCTTGGCCTAGTGATCCGCGTTGCAGGTTCGATTCCCTTTCAAGACAATAGTGCTAGTGTAATAAATATGAACATTTTCACTCAAGAAGTATTTAATATTCTTTGTATGGCCTATATTGATACGTATATAATTATTAAGTTGTTGGACGTAGCACACTTATCAACCCGGAAAGTGATTGTAACCGTATCAACTCGAGGCGGTCAGTATTCTTTGTATGAAACTCCATACTGCAACGCACACTTATCCCATCCGTAACTTAAACGCCTCGTCTAGCGGTTGACAGCGCGAGAAAGGCGATGACAGCTCGCAAAGGCGATACGGCGTTGATGCCTTTCCGAGTCGATAAGTCTGCTATGACCTTAATAGTGTGTTGTCACTATAAAAGGTCAGAAAAACAAAGTAACGTTTTTATTGATATCATTTTTAGTAACAGCATAAAATGTTTTTTCCAGGTATCAGGGAATCCACTGACACAAATCATACCAGCGCTGCAAACATGTCCCCAGAAATGCAACCAAAATGGCTACCAGAATCCTACTTACTACCAGAACCCAAACTACCAGGGCCAAAATAACTTTAACCAGAATCCAAATTACCAGAACCAGAACATCAACATACCCGTACTTTTGCAAACACCAACACAGCAGGTTCAGAATATACCAATAGTACAAAATACTCCTGTAATAACACCAAACAATAACCAACTTTATCAACAACAAGTTATGCTCCAAAACCAATTGGCAAGTCCTGTCGTGAATAATCAATTTGCAAATCCAGTAAACCAGCTCAGTCAAATGTACATGAATAAGATTCTATCTAATCCTACAATACAGACTCTATTGGAGCCGAATCCTAATTTGATATACCAAAATGGACCTGAATGCCCAAAACATACGAATCATATTTCTACTCCAACTCACAATCAAGGAACGCCCCCAACGGTTGTCAATAACTACTTTCTTTTACCACCTGAATTCTTGAACCCAGAAAACGAAAATTTCAAACCTAAAAAACACCCAAATGAACCCAAAAGAAGCAGAGAACAGAAAAGAGAAAGAGACGTAAGTAATAAAAGACCTCCAGAACAAATGAGAAGACCGCATCATGACGTTGAACAACACCCTGAGATCAAAAAGAAACAAGTGATCAATCCTGATTATCCTGTACATTCAAGGAAAGAAAGCCATAGGAGACCAGAACAGTTTATAGACGACGAAGTATTCACACACTCCATGGAAGAAAGAGAAAGAAATATAATGGATAGAGAAGAAAAAGAGAGAAAAAGAAGAAAACAACACGGCAGAAACCATAACAGGGAATGGGAAAGTCATATGCCATCAGAACATCATGTACATCAAAGAATTCATCCTGAAAGACATCATAATCGGGATGTTGTAAGACATCACGAAGGATCAAGACCTCATAATGAAGGATCAAGGCCTCATCATCCAGAAACAAAAAGACCGAATATAATAATAAAAATCAAAGAAATGCCTAAACATTCAAGCTCTGAAACTCAGATAAAAGGGAACAGTATTGAAAAATCTGCAGAAGATCTAAATCAGTCTCGTTCAGGCAAAAAGAGGCACTCGAAAGATGAGGAAATAATAGAAGATTTTAAAAAGAAATTCCCAGCGATACCCGAAGAAGTTGTTAGAAAGCTCCTGTCATATTTGAGGCGCCAGTTACAGAAACAACAGCTAGGTCATCCTCAATTTTACTACCCAGACGTCAGTTTTCCATTGAGATACGACCAATTGTTCCCGCATTCATTTACGAATGACAGAAATGACAGAAAACGAAGACCTAATAGACGACCTACCAA